CAAAACAAAAACAGACAGAAACAAACAAAAGGTAGAGTGATGGGCCAGAATCTTTTCCTTCTGAAGGCAGAGCTGGAATTCAAGCCATGAGAATGAGAGGTACTTGACTATCACTCTCGATTTTCCATAGAAACCCTCATTTAAGACAAGAAGAGAGGTTGTAGACCTAACTAAAAGAACAGGGTAAGAGTAGATGACAGAATCCAGAGAGTCTACAGTATCCATTTAAAATGTTCAATATACAGCACAGCTGCAAGAAAACTGATCCCAAAGCTTTAAAATTTCCACAGGAGCTACTATAGGTGACAGTGGTTTGACTCAGGCACGGAAGTCACCAGTCAAGAGTTGTAAAAGTAGAAGCCAGACATGGTGATGTGTACCTGTAACTCAATACTGGGACTAGCTTGCTGTACTCAGGTCCAGGATTTTAAGACCAAGCTGGGCAACTCAGTGAGACCCTGTCTCAAAGTTCCATGAGTCAGGATTAGGTAACGCAGTAAGGTTTAATTGTTATAAAAACAAGACATCAAAATATAAGATTTAAATAGTCATTGTGCCAAAGACACACAGTATCTTCACAAGCAATAGTTCAGGAATAAACCTGGCTCAACTGAGCTGAAGCCCTGAATCCAGGTCTCACCTCCCACCTACCACAGACTGATTTGGTTTACGGCCTCAGTGCTTCCACCAGGAAGGTGACTCAAAATGCTCTGGCACTTCTCTGACTTCCAGTCTTGCCCTTGGCTGGTCTGGTCAATATACCAAGTTTTATTGCTAAAAGGCAGGGAGACTAGCATTTCCCCCACCGAAACCTTTGATTTTTCTAAATATATTTGTCTAATTAAGAACCAAACTGCTTAGCATGGCATTTATGGCCTTTCCTGGTCATTTTCAACCCATCTCTCTCCTCTTTGGCTCTTCTATTCAAGCCACAACTCATCCTTCTTCAATCACACCCATACATCTCTTCTTTGAAACCTTACCCTTCTGTCTGACAGCTGTCTGACTTTCCCATGCTGCCTAGCTATCTTGGGTGAAAAGCTGTCAATAATACAGTATCTCCCCTGCCAATTCCACTGCTTAGAACACTTTGGGTGTCTGGAGCTACACTTCAGCTAGAAAAAATACGGAAACGTCTACTGTAATGTCTACTTTAAAAGCCCTTGTTCTAGTCATAACTTCTCCAGCCCATATCAGCACAGGAATTTTTTATTTTAGCCATGAAAAGCCTTAGGTCTGGAGTAATGCAAAGAACTGGGTGCTGGAAAAACAGATTGGGGAATTCTAGATACAGTCAATCCACATTGTAAAGCACATACATGAAAATTGCATACTTGCTGCATACTGTTGATGCTTATTCCTAAACACAGATGCGCACAGGGAGGCAATCGTTGGAGCTGCTGGATGAGCTTTCTTCCAAAGGAGACCAAGTAATGACATTATGCCTTTTTCTGCTCTTCCACTGTAAACGAGTAACTCTTTTGTCATCTACTTAATGCCACACCCTGCATATTCCATGCCTCTCCTTTGGGATCTATTTAAAACTGCCTGCTAGTGCAGTGCTCCAGTGTTGTCTCGTGTCCCTAAGGGGGTGTGCCTTAAAGAGGGAACATGTTAGGCAAACTTCTTTCAACAAGGGATCATAGTGCTGGGGGTGTGAGTTCAATGTCAATGGAGCCGTAGTATATATTAAACAAGGTGTCTTTACACAAAAATAGATGTAGAACGACACTATGCACCAAGCAGCTGGTAAATGTAAATGGAGGCTTCAAGGACATATCCTTGCGTCTCTCTCCACAGCAATTGGGTACTCACTAATTTAGTGTTCCTGGTCAGTTCCTGGAACACAGCTGCGAATAATGAGAATCAGCTGTATACACACGGTAGGTCGAAGCATGGCTTATATTAAATACTAAAGTGTATACAGCAAGAGGATAAGAAGTGTCAAAGCAGAACACAAGGGAAGATCATTGGTGAGGGCCTAGATGTTGTTGAGGAATGGCCAAAAGAATGGTTAAAGAAAAAAGGTAGCAAGAGGTCCTTAGGCAGCAGAACGGTGCAGTATTGCCAGGAGCTACAAAACAGCTCCCAGGAAGGGGGAGGGGTGGTCAAGGAAAAAAGCATGTACTTTTGAGGACACTTCATCTGAGTTTAAAACTCAGCGTATTAACTGTGTGAAATAAGAAAAGTCATCTCATTTCTCTGCCTCCTGCTTGCTTCTATAACATGAAGACTATACTGTTGGAATATTCTTTTTCTATTTTATTGGTGTTTCTTATACCTCTACCTCCCTTCCCCACCCTATTCCCTTTTAACACCAGGTAAGAGAGAAAGGTTGGGGGGGGGGGAGATGGGGCATAGTTCTCTTTAGCTACTTCCTGCAAGTTAGGATTATTGGGTTCCTTGGGACAAGTCCAATCTGCATTTCAGGATATCTCCAGTTTCTTCTTATCAAACTCCAACAACAGCAACCTGGAGCAGTGGGGGTGGGGGCACAGCAGCCTTTTTCTTTAGAGCCTCCCATCTCTCCCTGGGCTCTGGCTTCTATTCCCTCTACAGAGTCCTCAGAATTAAACTATCTGCAGCTGTCAAAGATCACACCTTTCTCAGAGCCCAAGAAGCAAATAGCCTGCTGCTGTGGACGATCTATGAAGCCTCATATCCCACACCTGGGATGAGAACGAAAACATGTTTACATAACACAACTGAGTTTTTAAAGAAACCAAAACTCCCACTATACAATAGCCAACACAGAAAGTTGTTTTAGAGGGCATAAATGTTGTATGCAAGCCATGAAAATTACCAACTGTAAACAGAGCAGATGTTTTAGAAACAAGATAAGAGTCTTTCAACAGATAAAACAGTCATTTCTAAGCCTGAGCACAGTGATGTTCATAGTAAAATTACATAGATATTAATTTCATTTAAGTTATGAAATTGGAGTCACCTGTACCTGACGATTAGTCTTGCTATTGTATTTATTGACTTAGCAAGATTGGAAAACATGCTGTGAAGACAAGCAAGTCTCAGTCCTGGATACAGATATCTGCTACTTCTACTCATGGATTCCCGGATATAGACCCTAAAAATACATTCCTTTAGTGTAGGAAATCAAAAAGTTGGCCTGGCCTAGCTGCCTTGAGGCATACATCATAGGCTTTTTAGGTTAGAGCCCATGGCTCCTGGGGCACAACGCGCCTTCCAGCTGCTGACAGACCGATACACTCCCTCAGGCAGTGAGGCATTCAGGCCGCTTTGTGATTTTCTGACTGTTCCCTCAGACATCAAGGAAGCATGGAAGCTTCACAGAACAACTGGTCTTAGACATTAATCTTGTGCACCCTGTACAGCTAGCAGATGTCATTGTATCCTGCCAGCTACAACTGTATTAATCCTGGCAATGGCCATCATGTTCTGTTTCTGATGATATTGCTTATTGCTCTCAATAAAATTGCCACAGCCTAAGTAAAATCCTCAGCGGGCTGATTTTCATTCCTAAAGGCCGTATCAGATGACCTTGGGCCCAGTAAGTAAACATAGAAGCTTACACTTTAGAATCTAACATCTCTAATCGAGGTCTCTTCGTGACTACCTCAAAATCATGTTTTCCTATTTCTAAACAACCATGTACTATTTTGCTGACATGAGTAAGATATTTCCAATATCTGTCTTAGAACATAGATGTGCGTTTTTACTTGTGGTCTTTCCTGGTCAAATGTCTGTGGGGAGTACTTCTCCTTCAGGGCCCAACATTAAAAGGTGTTGGCTCTCTAGGGTCATTTCTTGTCAAAGAGGTGATGGGAACTTTTAAGGTGGAATGTGTATTAAGGATATCAGGACAGCAATGCAAGGTTTAGTAACCTGTACTGCTAGTTTCTACAGGGTGAATTTAATTATCATTTGCCTTGATCAAGTACATCTGTGCATACCCAGCAGCACTGGAAAAGATTGTCTTCCTTTTCCCTCTGAGCTGGGCCTAAGAGTGAAACCAAACAGGAGAAAAGGGTACACATTTTATTGCAAAAAAAAAAAAAAAAAAAAAAAAAATTCATGTGATTAGTGTCTTCATGGGAACCCAAAGGCCTATATGTGGCTATATTTACATACCCCTGGCAATCAAGAAAAGTAGCTAAGATGTGGGTTTAATTCTAAAAGTTGTTACAGAGCTCTCAGTTTCAACCTCTCCAACTGGTAAAATGTGGTTTCTTTTTTAAGTGTTTCGAACTCAAAACACGCCAAAAAAGTAGTACACAGGAGGCCGGCACCCAGCATGTTGCATACAGCCGTCACCAAGAGAGTATTCTCCATTCACACACAGGCCTCACATAGTACTCTCTGCAAAGCTTATTTACAAACGGTACTGTTATCTGTTTAAGCCTTCCTTTCTTTCACTAGCTTTTAAGTTTTCATAAAGGCCCAGACTTTTTTTTTTTTTTCTACATCGGCAATTCTTGGGAGGACTAAGTGTTTGGTATAAGACAATAGTTAGATCAATCTCAGAGTGGGGGGCGGGATGGTCTAAGTCTCTGTTCTCATTGCCAAAAGCTTTTACCGTTTCTCATCCTCAACACGGATCCACCCAGAGGGTAGTATCATCTAATCCTTGATCCCAAGGGAAAAAAAGAGAGATTCTACCAAGACTTGAAAGGGGAAGTTGTAACATTCATCTGTTAAAACGTTGCACTGTTGAGTTAAATGGATTTGGAAGTCAACGCTGCGCTCTGGGACAACCTATAGTTCCTGCCAGCGAGTCGCAGGGTGACAGCAGACAGACAGATCCTCAAAATGCTGGAAGCTGGCGATTCCCAGGAGCCGGAACCCTACAGCGAGGGTGCCGGGGCTGGAAGGGGTTCCAGGGCGTGCACGAATCGGGCGTACCGCCGCTTGGCTCCGCCCCCTCCCGGAGGGCGGAGTCACGGGTAGCTCCGCCCCGCGGGCGGTCTATAAATACCCAGCCCGGAAGTCGTGGCTCCAGGGAGGGAGCCGCGAGCGAGTGGAAGATGGCGGAGGCTCGTCGGGTGGATCCGCCCGAGGAGCGGGAGCGGGAGCGGGAGCGGGGCTCCGCGGTGCCACGGCCCCCGAGCGCGCGCGACTTGCAGGTGCGGACACGGAAGGCGGCGGCGGCGGCGGGCGGGAGGGCGTGGGTATGCTTGGGCGCCGGCCGGAGCCGCCTGGTGCCTCGCGTGTGCAACAGTGTCGCAGAGGAGAGAGAGACTCTCCCGGAGGCGCTTTGTACGGAGTGGGCGTGGGAGCGAGTGCGCGAGCTCCCGCGCCTGGTTTCCCGTCGCGCGCGGTGCTCGGAGCCGCTGTTTGCCGTTGTGCGGGGCCTGTGGGTAGCTCCGGCTTGGTGCCTCCTGCCTGCCGGAGAGCCGCCGTGGCTAGTGATAAATCGGCCACCACTTAAAAAAGTAACTTTAAAATGAACGCCTGCTGGGGTAGCTGTTCTCTTGGATGCTCTTTCGGATTTGATGACTTACCAAAAGCAGTTTTGTGCCCCTCCACCCCCACCAAAAAGCTTACGTTTTTACAGGAGGGGTCTTAAAAGACAGTTCAGTCTTTGGTCACAGCCCACTTGTAAGAGGTAATCCGCAAAACCTAACAAATAAAACTCGGCCAGGGTATGACGCTGACATTAGTCAGCCGAACACTTGTCCACTGGCTGCTGTTTTATCAGATGCTAACACTACTCAGTCATTTTAGGCATTTTTCTATCTCCTTATGAAATCATTAACAAAATTCAACAATTAAATATATGTTAAGGGGTTATGGTTCTGAATAAATGAGCCTGGATTCACAAACCTTGACAGAGCGTTTTTTAATAGCTTGTCTTCGTTATTTAACCAGACATACTGCCTGCCAGCCGTTATAACTTTCTGAAGTTTGGTTGTTTTGTTTTTTGTTTTTTGTTTTTTGTTTTTTTTTTGGGGGGGGGAGAGGGGGTCGTGAATTTTGAGAAATAGGAGACCAAATCCATAAGTAGTTGTGGATACTGTTGTATGGTATTAAATTTTGTGAAAGGTCAAAGATTTGAAACAGGCTTGTGAAAACCTTTACAGACCAAACCAGTGCAAAGTTATAATGGTATTAATTGAGCACAGGTTGCTTGCAGGTGAACCTGAGGCCACTTAGCTAGTTGTCTTAGCCTAACTATCCTGTGATGAAGCACCATGACCAAAGCAACTTGGAAAGACCTATGTGTCCACATCACAGTTCCTCATCAAAGGAAGTCAGGGCAGGAACCTGGAGGCAGGAGCTGATGCAGAGGCCCGGGAGAGGTGCTCTGTACTGGCTTGCTCCCCACTGCTGGCTCTACCTGCTTTTTTCTTTTTCTTTTAAAAATAAGCTGCTTTGATATTTTGGAAGATGGACATTTTTACTTTTCTCTAAGCATCCATGTACATACTCCTATTTTAACTATTCAAAAACAGCATCCATTACTCAAAAGTGCCCTGAGGCTATTCCCATGTTGATGAACAGCAAAATTACCTCAGGCTACTTCATAGCTCTTGGTGTCTCACTGTATTAATAACACATATTTCAGAGATTTCTCTGCGGGAGACATTTAGTTATTTCTTTGGGCCAAACTTCTAGATACACAATAGTTTGTTAAAGGGCATGCACACTTTGGGAGTCCTTTTTTCTTAATAGAACCCAGGACTCACAGCCTAGGGACGGCACCACCTGTAATGGACTGTGCTCTTACCTACCAACCACTCATTAAGAAAATGGCCTACAGCCTTATGGAGGCCTCTTTTTTTTTTTTTTTTTCTTCCAAATTGAGGACAGACCCCCGCTCCCCACCCCCATGGTGACACTAGGTTTGTCAAGTTGACGTGAACTATCCAACACACTAGTGAAGCTGTAGCCATCTGACTGGCCAACCAAACTGTTGATAAGTAAACCATTTTCTGAGGTCTCATTGCTGGTTGGAGTTTTCCCAGCCTGCTTTGAACCTGGGGCCTGCCCCATTCGGGAATTCTGTTTCGTTTTATAAGTAAAATGTACAAGGTGTAATTGGCCTAAAAGATCTCTATTTTAACCACATGTTACTTTTTTGGAAGCACAGTTTAAGCTAAAATGCCATTAAAAAAAAGTTAAGATGATTTTGGAGAATGGAGATATCAGCATCAGGTGGGAGATAAACTCACCTGATAGTCTATCACCAGCTATAAAGGTACATCTTAGCCGCCGTGCAGAATACAGTCTTTCAGCTTCTGAATCATGAAGGAGTGTTTTAGGAACCACCAGAAGAGGCCTACATAGTTATCTCCCAAAGTGCCCCACTAGCTTGTGACTATTCTAAGTATAGACTGTAAATCCCATTTGGACATCAAACCAGCAGTTAGACAATCTTGGCTCCCTTTACTTCCCCAAATTTGGCAGTGTTCAGTAGAAAAATTGGGGATAAGTTCATTAACAAATCTAAACCTCTGTGTTATTTTTGGATTATTTCTAAGACTTTAGTATCCTCCAGGCAATCACGCACAGGGTTTAACGTTGTTTAAGGTATTATATGCTTCCCAATTTTTCTCCAGAATAATAGCAAAAGAAAAGGATTGCTCTTCTTAATTCTGTGCTTCCATCCAGGTTATCATTTGGGCTGTGTAACAGTTGCTGGCCATTGTGCCTGGTCCCGTTGACTGTCCTCCTACATCACTTGGTCACAGACATCGTGAAGTAGTGACTGTCTGTGGGAAGGCTTGATAAAGCAGACACTAGCCCTTACACCAGCTGTTAATCCACTAGGTTTAGAGTAGGGCTTGAGCACGTGGTATTTCCTAAAGTTCCTAGGTGTGGCTAGTCTATACAGTAAACTTTACTGGGTTTTCTAGAATATGTAGCACAAAGAAGGCTGAGAACTCCAGTTCTCTTTTGCTGTGTTTCTGCCCCTCACAGTGACTTAGATCCAGGTTTTCTTACAGGTTCTTTGCGTACCAAATGTTGGAAAGGGTCCAAGTAAGACCCTTTCTTACTTGGAAAGGGTTGGGACCAGAAGTCTTTCAGTTTTGGAATTTTTTTTTCCCCTGACTTTGGAGTATTTTCAGAGATTACCAGTTGAGCAGTCTTGTTCTAAAATCCTGAAACTTAAAATATTCCAAACTCCAGAACTTTTTGAGAACCAGAATGATGAGTTCTCTCTGCATTCTTTTTTTCTCTTCATATCCCTGTCGCAGCCCCATCCCTCCTCTTTCCAGTCCCCAGCCTTCCATCCTCTTCCCCCATTTTCCCCTTCTCAGAGAAGGGAGCCCCCACCTCCACCCCCACCCCTGTGCCATCCCATCCTGGCACTTCATGTTGCATCATTGCTAAGTGTATCCTCTTCCGCTGAGTAAAGATAAGACTGCCCTGCTAGCAGAATGTGATCCAGCAGCAGGCAATAGAGTCCATGGCAGGAACAGCCCCACTCCAGTTGCTAAGGGACCCACATGAAAATTGTGCTGTAAGTGTAGGAGGCCAGGTCAAGTGCATGCATGCACACACTTAGGTTGGTGGTTCAGTCTCTGTGAGCCCTATGGGCCTAGGTTAGTTGACTCTTGTTGGTCCTCCTGTGGAGTTCTTATCCCCTTCTGGTCTCTCTATACTTGCCCCAACTCTTCCACAAGATTCCCAGATCTCTGTCTAATGTTTGGATGTAGGTCTCAGCATCTGTTTTGATCTGCTGCTGGTTGGAGCCTCTAAGAGGCCAGATAGCTTGCCTTGTGTCTGCAAGCATAGAGTATCATTAATAGTGACAGGGGTTGGCGCTGTCCCATGGGGTGAGTCTCGAGTTGTGCCAGTCATTGGTTGGCCATTTCTGCAAACTCTGCTCCATCTCCATCCCTGCCTGTCATGTAGGGTCCAAGGCTTTGTGGGTGGGTTGTTGTCCCTCTCCCTCCATTGTAAGCCCTGCCTGGCTGTAGGGGTGACCACTTCAGTCTCCATAGTTCTTGCTGCTGGGAGTCTCGGCTAGAATTGCCCTGTATCCTTCTAGGAACCTACCTTGTTCCTTGTTGCACGTCTCCAGTTTGTCCCAGAGATAGCCCACCACCACCACATACACATAAGCTTCCCATCTCTCTCCCAGCCCTACTGCCTACCACCCCTGATTTTCAATGACTGGCCTCCACCCTTATTCCCCTCCCCATTCCTTCTCCCACCCAGTTCCTCTCTTTATTACTTCCAAATGTCTATTTCCCTTTTTAACGGGATTCAAGCTTCGTCCCTGGGGCCCTCCTTGTTACTTAGCTTCTTTGGGTATGTAGATTTTGGTACGGTTATCCTGTGCTACATGGTTAATATCCGTTTATAAGTGAGTACATACTATATGTGTCTTTCTGGGTCTTTGTTACCTTGCTTGGAATGATCTTTCCTAGTTTCATTTGCCTTCATGATTTCCTTGCTTTTAATAGGTGGTTGGTATTCCATTATGTAAATGTACGTATTTTCTTTATCCATTCTATGGTTGAGGGACATGTAGCTCGTTTTCAGTTTCTGACTATTACCATTAAGGCTACTATGAACACACTTGAGCAAATTTCCCAGGGGTATGATGGAGTGTCTTTTGCATATGTACCCAGGAGAGGTATAGGTGGATCTTGAGGTAGAGCTATTACCAATTTTCCAGGAAGGGCCAGATTGATTTCCAGTGGTTGTATAAGTTTGAACTCCCACCAGCAATGTAGGGGTGTTCCCCTTGCTCCACATCCTCGCCAGCATGTGCTGTCACTGAAGTTTTTGATCTTAGCCATTCTGATGGGTGAAAGATGGAATCTTGAGTTGTTTTGCTTTGCATTTCTCTGAGGACTAAAGACATTGAACATTTTCTTTAAGTGCTTTTTATCCATTAGAAAGTCCTCTGCTGAGAATTGTTTAGCTCTACTCCACTTTTTAATTAGATTATTTGGTTTGTTGGTGTTTAATCTTTTGAGTTCTTTATATGTTTTAGAATTAGTCCTCTGTCAGATGTGGTGTAGGTGAAGATCTTTTCCCAGTCTGTGAGCTGCTGTTTTCCTATTGACAGTGTCCTTTGCCTTGTGCTAGAGACCAGCTCCAGCACCCAGGGTGAGCCAAGGCAGGTCACAGCATCCTTGATGACCAGTTGGTGGCTGTTTTGTTTTGTTTTGTTTTGTTTTCCTATACTTTAACGCTTAAAACTTCCAGGCTGGTAGCCTTACAATTTGGGGCTCTCTATATACAGTTTATATGTATAGTTTAACTCCCAGGGGCCTCTGGTCACGAGAGCCTCCAAAGAAAAAGAGAAGAAGCAGGGAAACCCTTTTTTCAGTTTATTTACTTTACATCTCAGGGGTACCCCCTCCTCCCAGTGCCCTCCTTCCTGTTCCCTCTCCCTGTGCCCCTCCCCACATATCAATCTTTTGCAAATAGGTGCTAAACTCTAGCCAGCAGATGCTGGGACTTGTAGCTAAGCATGGAGTGAAGCTCCAGGGATCCTGTGGAAGTGTTGGGAAAGATGGAAGGACCTCGAGGGGACAGAAGACCAATAGAGACAATTAACCCAGACCCATGGAGGCTTACAGAGACTGATGCAGGGAATTGAATCCTGAACTTTCAGATTTGGGGGGCTGAAGCTTTATCAATTGAGCTATCCAGGCCTCCGGTTTCTCTGCCACCAAAACAGCTCTGGCTAAAGACTTTCATTGTTTAACAGCAGAAAGTCTTAAATCAGTTCAGCCAGGTGGCTCCTCTAACTCAGGGTATAAGCTACAGCAGCCCTGACAGTTTCTTCTTGTAAATACAAGGGATTATAAAAAGAAAAATCTTAGTTCCTTTTAACTTAATGGCTCAGCAGAACAGGGGCTTGTTGGAAGCTAGAGTCCTATTATTCTTAGGTCTGGTCTTTTCATAGTATCCCAAATTTCCTGGATTTATAAATTTATAAACTTTTTAGATTTAGCATTTTCTTTGATATATCAATTTCTTCTATCTTCTACTCCTGAGATTCTCTTTTCCATCTCTTGTATTCTGTTGGTAATGCATGTGTCTGTAGTTCCTGTTCTCTTCCCTAGGTTTTCCATCTCCCAGATTGCCTCAGGTTGTGTTTTCCATGCTTCTATTTCAGTTTTCAGGTCTTAAACCATTTTATTCAGTTCCTTCACCTCTCTGGTTGTATTTTTCTATATTTCCTTTAAGGGAGTTATTTTTCTCTCTTAAGGCCTTTATCATTTTTGTAGTAGATTTAAGATTGTTTTCTTGCTTTTCAGGTGTGATAGGATATTCAGGACGTACTGTAGTAGGATAGTTGGGGTCTGGTGGTGCCATATGGCCCTGGGTTTTATGGCCCTGGGTTTTCTTGCTTGTGATCTTAATGCTAACCTCTAGTCATGTGGAGTTAGCAGGCCTGATGGTAGTAGTCCTGTGGTCCTGGATGGTAATGGTCTTCTGTTTTTTCTTGGTGGAAGCAGGCTCTGGGGATACAGGGAAGAGAAATGGTGGTAGTCCCTGATGGCTGTCAGTAGAGATGGGGCTCAGGAAATTAGCGTGCCTGGGAGATGGAACATGAATCACATAGGGGAAGCTGGAGAGCCTAGGGCTGACTGCGCCACTGATGGTAGGTCCTAGCAGGCCAGTCTCTCGGTATTATCTTAATTAAACTTTGTAATTAACCTGAGTTTTTGTCATACTTTTTATCTGGTACTTTAATTTTTATTTATTTAATTTAATATGATACAATGTTTGGAATGCTCAGTCTATGTCTAATATTCTGAATTTTAAAAATTTAATATTTATGAGTGAGCATGTCATAACTTGTCACTTGGGGCCAACTCCTTCTAAAAAGATACATGTTTATACCTCTAAGGATTATTAGTGTTCCTGTTCCGCTTCCTATAAAGTCAAATGTGCTTTATTTTACACAAGAAAAATGTTGGATTGTCAACGATAAAATAAGTTGCTAAGAAAAAGAACCTGGTGGGATAGTCATGGTAGATTTCATGAGGGCAGAGGCATATGGCTGGGCTCCTTCTATCTTTGTGGATCAAGAAAGCAGAGTGGGGAAAGCTGAAACGTGGCTGTTTTTGCCTTTTTATTCAGCTCAAGACCCTAGCCCATAATGCTCAGGGTAGGAATTCTCTCCTTAGAAATAATGCCTAAGGCACACCAAGAGGTAGATTTCATAAGTGCAGAAGCATATGGCTGGTGTATCTCCCAGGGGGTTCCTAATCCACTTGACGCTGAAGATTACCCATTCAGTTGGCACCTAATGTAAATGTCATTAGGAGGATAGCATAGGATCTGTGTGTTTAGAGAAAGATATTTAGTTAAGAAACTTTAAGCCATTTTACATAGGTCACCTGAAATGGGTGTTAAGCATACAGATAACAGTGTGTTCTCATGCAGTGGAATAGATGCACCTTGTGCTCTACACTGATACTTAGGTACATACTGATCATCAGAAGAATTTTGATAAGCATTTAAAGAAGTTATTAAGCTCAAGGATGTTCAGTAATCTACCAAATGTTACACAGTGTGTAAGTCAAGATTTGGATCCAGTTGAGAGAGAACAAGGGGTTTGGGGTATAAACATGGGAGGAACTGGAGGGAGAAAAAGGAAGGGGGAAATTTCAAAAATATAATCTATGTGAATTTTTTAGTTCAGTTCTTAAGAGGTGTGAGCCGTTGATTTGCATTTCTAGGGAAATTGCTGTTTTAGAAATTCACAAGTTGATGCATCTGTGAGAGCTAGGAAGGAAAAGGAATAAAAACCATTAGGGAAGGAAACGATCTTCTAGATGTCTTGAGGGTGTACTGCAAATGTGTTTGAAGGCCTGTGGAATCTTCAGAGGCTGGGAGATCTAACTAATGTCAGAGTGCTTGTCTAACATGCATGAGGTTCTGCCTGGGTTCAATTCCTAACCTTGGAAAAAGACTGACTGACTTTACCTCAGTTATGTTCTTTTTCTTCTGAGGAAAGAATATTCAAAGATAATTTCAGGGGTGGGAGGTCTTGTTTATTTGTAAAGTGAGTGGGAGCCCAAAGACTACAATCGTACCAATTGAATAGCCACTAGGAGTGTTAAGGAAGTTTATTTTGTTTTGCTTTTTAAGGCAGAGTCCTTATACAGTTCTAACTGTCCTGGAACTTATGTAGACCAGGCTGGCCTCAAACTCAGAGACCCTCCTGCTTCTTATGCCTCCTAAGCGCTGGGATTGAAGGCATGCACCACTATGCCAGGCTGAAATTTTTTAAATTATTGCCCAAAATAGCAAAAGTAGATGGAAAAAAAAACTGTAATAATTAGATTACTATTTTAAATTCTATTTTAAGGACAAATATTTTTATTTTATTTAGAAGGTATCCAGCTATATATCTGTAATACATCATTTTGCAGTATTACTTTTATAAATGGTTAAATATTTAATTAATTGCCATATTTTTTAGAAGCTCTTTTCCCTAAACTTAATGAAATTTGTGTCTGATAGACTTTTAAGTAATACTTTTGAACTTGTTTTATGTACTTAGGTTTTAAAAATAACTAAGTGAAATTATATTATGAGATTAAATTAGAGAAATTGGCAGTAGCTTGAACTATCTCCAAAAATTATTTAAAACCTTGAGTAAGGTTACACAGATCCATAGGGAAAACAATGTAATTTAAACTCAGTTTCTGAAACTGATGCATAGTTACTTAAAAACATTATTATAACAAATTTTCTCTGGCATGTGGCAGTTTGATTGAATACTATGAGACCTGACGAGTTTAGTTTGTTTTGGAAAGACAGTCTTTTGAGGCAACAACCTTCCTTTTTCCTAGGAAATCATTATTGCTCAATTTCAAGCCAATATCTGTTCCTCAGATACATGTCTAGAAGTCTGTTTCCAGTGTCAGCTGTATAATAAGCCTGTTGTTATGTGTAGTTGGCTTTGGCAGAATTATATGAAGACGAAGTGAAATGCAAGTCTTCCAAGCCTGACAGATCTACAACTACAGCCTTTAAGAGCCCACAGACTCCGCCGCATCGGTGAGTGCTACCTCCAGATATTTACCCTGTTCAGCTCACTAAGCCCAAATGGTTTTAAGTGACCTGGGGACTTTTTAAAGGTTTTTAAAATGGATATGGAGGTATATTCCAAAATTCTTTATAGTCAGTGAGAAAAACTTCTGAAGAATTACATTAGTATCTGATACTTTCATAGGCACCATATGAAATTGTATCTTGAATCCTGCTTTCTCATGCATGGTGGTCTTTAATATTTTTGTCATAAAGCTCACTGAGTACTGATGAATGCTCAGGCCTTCTTCCAAGGAGCATTCGTGTGCAGTTTTGTCAGTTGAGGGCCAGCAGGGCTCTCACTATTTCCATGGGGCCACAGGGACTCTTTGGTTCACTATTGAAGAATCTGAAAGTGTGAAGTTTCTGTGTGTGCGCTTCTGTTGTGTGCTGCTTACTGATGATTTCCTGGGATGTATATGTCTCTTGAACTATAAAAAGAACACACTAGGGATTTAGAAGAGGAGTCGCATATATTGTATCATAAATATTTTTATTGATTTTTCTAGTGTTAGAGAACAAGCTTGAATTTTCTGATTATCTCCTTCTCAAAATATTATCAGAAGTAGAAAACTTCATTGAGCATTAGGTTTTTGTAATGTCACATTCTTTTTTGTATAGGAGACAAAAATGATACATATTTTTCTGCACCTGAATGAAAAGAAAAATTCTCATAACTTCTCCCTTAAATTTATTTTACAAATTTTAAAGCCCATAGAAAATTTAAAGGTTAGTAAAATAAACACTAAATATTTCACTTCTTTTCACTAGTTGTTAAAGTATCTTCTAGCATTGCTTGTACTCACCCATGCTCTTAATTTCTGTGTTACTCAACTGTCTGAAAGCAAATTAATAGCCATCATGACACTTACTTCTAGATATTTTATCGTTCATTCCCTAAGAATAACTTATATAACCTATATATGATAAAAGTATAGCCTAAAAATTAACAGGTGTCATGATGTCATTTAACAGAAAGCCTGTAGTCAGCCTTTTTTTTTTTTTTTTTCAGCCATTTTTGGGAGTTTGGGGACCCAGCTAGAGACTAGTAATTCCATTTGATTTTCTTGTGTTGAGTTTTAATGCAGGGTGTCCTCTCTTTATTGTCTGTCTTTTTATTTTTAGCTTACCTACATAACCTAAAATTTATTATATTCACTTTTTTTAAAAAATCTACACTAGATATCTCAAAATGCCCCACATTCTAGGTCACTGTTTTCCTCATAATTAGATTCTTGTTAAACATTTTTGTCAAGAGTACTAGATGAGTGATACTGTCTGCTTTTTATTGTATCACATCAGGAGCCATATAATTTCAAGTTTTTCCACTATTGGTGATATGCTCACTTGATTAAGGTGCTGACCACCACATCACTGCATTGTCAGGATTGTCAGGTACAGTTTCTTTGTAATCAGCAGGTTGGTATCTCAGCATGGTTTGAATATACTATCCTTGGCTTTAATTTTTTGTTAGATAATGAGTATAAATAGATATGTATAATATTTTAGCTGCCTCCATGATATATATTTTTCCCAAAGTTTTTTAAAGTATTTAATGTGTTATTGTACCCAAGTTTTACTCATTTGGTATTGCAGTGTTTAGCTGTTGTCTCCCTAGTTTGAACACGCGCAGAATGACTTAATATTGCTCCCAGTGCAATGAATCTAATATTTGAATTCTTACAAGACTGACATTTAAATATTTTCCTTGTTCTTCATGTATTAATTCTGTGATCAGGTCAGGGTTGTCCTAAGCAAGTTCAGCCAGCTTGAACTGCCTCAAAACCTATGGTCTGTGGATGTGACTTAGTGACAGAGTGCTAACTTGCATCTGCAAGGCCCTGCATTCAATTCCTAGAACCATTTCTTCAGTGACTGAATCTCCTTAAGCAATCTGAAAATTTTTTTTGTTTATAGTTTTAATTTGATAGTGCTCTTTGGGGGTGTGATGGATTAAACTTAGTATCCCCAACATATTAGCCATAAACTTGTACTGCTAAGCTACACTTCTCCACCAGTGATGCAGTTATTAAAGACTTGCCTCAGGTTGGACCACTAGAATTATTTATTGCACAAAACGATCAGTTTCTTTAAGTGATGCTGGGACTGTTTTATACACCGTACCTTAAGTGATGAAAAGATTATTGGCAGTCTTTTTCTCTAAGCATGATACTGTTTTAGCACTTAGTACATGTCATACCTCCTTTACATTCATAAGAACATTTGCCCTGTTTTTGATGTGTTTCCACTTTTACTTTGTACATGCACCTGCTAATTCTCATGTCCTCCTAGGGCAAGAGTTAGAAATCAAAACAATTATATGTTGCTTGTCATTTTGCTCTTGTGGTTTTCAGGGTATTATTATGTAGCCTAGGCAGGCCTGGAACTCATTGTCATTCAGGCCATCCTCAAATAGTCAGTCCTCATGCCTCAGCCTCCCAAGTGTTGAGCTTTCCAGAGTCTGCCAGCAACACCACACCTGACATGCTGACTTTAAGCCAACTGCTTTGGTTACTTTTTTGTCATCTTGACACAAGCTAGAGTCTCCTGGGAAGAGAGCTCTCAGTTGAGAGATTACTTCCATATGACTGGCCTATGGGCATGTCTGTGGGGCATTTTCTTAATGAATTATGTTGGGTGTTCTAGCCCACAGTGGGAAGTTCCATCCCTGGGCAGCTGGCCCTCTTGTGCATAAGAAAGCATGTTGAGCAAACCATAGAGGGCAACCCAGTAAGCAGCATTTCTCCATGTCTCTGCTTCACTTCCCACCTCAGGTTCCTGGCCTTCCTCCCTCCATAATAGGTAACCTGTAGAATGTAATAAACCTTTTTTTCTCCCCCAGTTTGCTTTTGGCCAGTGTTTTATTAGCAACAGAGAAGCTAAATAAAACACCAACATTATTATTATCTAAAATATTTGATGTAATGTGGTCTGTATGTTTAGCTTACAAGAAAAGGTATGTGATCTATAGAAAAACTTTGAGGACAGTCACCTTCTTTAACAAGTTCACTCATGAAGGCTTGTAAACCACATGCAAAACACAGGCCATATTTTCTACAGATCATTTTTACATAGCATTGTTTTGAGAATTAAATTAGACCGACTGTGTAATGTGTCTAGCAAGGACCCTAAACCACTACTAAAATCTTAAGCAAGCACCAAAAGTCAGGGACAGAGAGTCATAGAAGACAATGTGAAAGGATAGAGTACAGAAAGAGAAGCTGCAGAACATTATAAGTTAGAGGCGGTGAAGTGGAGGTGCAGCCAGGTTGAGCCTCGCGGATCTGTCACGTGTGCTGTCACACAAGTCTCTACACTTATGAGGGTCTGTGTTGGCCCTAATGCCTGACTCCTCAGTGGATTTTGGGTGAGGGTGTTTACACGTTCATTTTGCAGCCGACCCCCATTATTATGTCACATTCGTGTAGAGGTTGGGTCAGACTTTAGTTACCACATAGAATAATAGGAAATTATTTGCACTGGGAATTGCAGTGCAGTAGGTCATTTTTAATTCAAAAGTCTCCAAAGAATAAACCTTCGCTGTGTAGCTGTATGGGGTGGGTGAATGGCCTCTGGTAGTTGGCAATGCTTACCCACAACAGTAGAACCTTGATCTGTGAAAACAGGAGTGCCGTAAGCAGACCCCCAGCGTTGAGGGAGGAAACAAGGACCGTCCCAGTTACCATGTTGGTTGCTGAAATTGTCAAAATCTCCACAAACTCAGAAGGGATACAAACTATCCCATTTGATCTTTGCCTGAGTTCCATTTTAAGGTTGCATATTTCTGAAGAATTCAGAAGTACTTCTTTATGAATAAGTTATCTCATAAGATTATGTGGCTTCTTATTTTAGAGTAATTTATGTCTATTCTGAGTTTTTATTTATGATTTGTGATGTTTAAAGGATTTATTCAGGTGAGCAGGAATATGGTGGATTACATATAGTTCAGCCTCCAACTGGGAAAATTGTGAATGAACTTTTCAAAGAGGCAAGGGAACATGGGGCTGTCCCTCTAAATGAAGCCACAAGATCTTCGAGTGATGACAAACCTAAGGTCAGTGGTGTCTTAAAATTGTGCTGTTTCTGGGAAGTTAAGAGGTACCTGGACATGTGTCTGGGTAGCCTTTCTGATCCTTTCAGTACCCACTGTTGAGATTGACTATCCTTCATGAAACTTTGAGTTTTAGTCTTTATTTGGTAGCAGCTGGAAAACTTCCTTCTTTCAAGCCTTGAGGCCATTTAACATTTCTAAGTTCTCCAATTCTGTTAAAAAAAAAAAGTATGGAATTGATTTAGCATGTGGAACAAAGCAAGGTTGTAATTAAAAGTGCATTTGTGATGCAAATGGTAATTAAAAGAATAGCTATTTCTCACACGAATCCTACCTGATGACCACGTATTCAGTATAGCAAGATCCAAAAAGATTGTAAGAGCCAGAATACCAGGAAGTCTGCTGTCTCTTCTAAAAATGGCTGCATGAACAAGACTGACACATTAACATGGAAGAGGGAAATTTTCATGGGGCCACACCCCTAAGAACTATAGGCACTAAGACTGCTAGGAGAAGAACTAACCCCTCCGAGGGATGAACCCTTTATTGGTTGTCTAATACAGAGTAATTAGGCTTGAAACCATGTACATACCACCAACAGAAACATTCAGTAGAAGACATACTATCTCAGCCTCAGGTGAGGGAAGGGCTTGAAGGAAGCTGAATGCAAGAGTGATGAGGGAAGGAAAGATCAGAACATTTAGTATTGTTTCATAAGAGATGGGACAGATAGGAAGCATGTCTCAGTATGGCTTGACCTGCTCTAAGAACTTGTGTCTCTTGCAAGCTTTATTTATACACAAAATCATTTACTCAGAAACTTTAATTATTGATTATGTAACTTTAAGTCTTCCTGGGTTGCATAAGTTGAAACAAAATGAGCAAATAGCAAATTTCATAATAAGATTTAATATGATAAAATCAGTTTTCTTTTTTTAAGCTTAGGATCCCAAAGTCTTGAGGTTACAAAAATGCTAGACAGGAATGCAGCCACTCCTGATGAGAGACCCTGATAGACTAGGATCAGAAGGAAGGGGAGGAGGACCTCCCCTATCAGTGGACCTGGGGAGGGGCATGGGTGGAGAAGGGGGGAGAGTGGGATTGGGAGGGGAGGAGAGAGAGAGCTACAGGGGGGATAAAAAGTGAATAAATTGTAATTAATAAAAAATACCAAAAAAATGCTAGACAGGATGACACTATTTGAGTTTGATTCTGTTTCAAGTTGGCATAGAATTAATAGATTAAAATTTATTTCATAAAAAAATTATTTCATTCCACTTATCTTTTCTTCAGAAGTTCAGTCTTTCTGACCCTTTTGATCCTTCCTTTCCCTGTTTTTCTTTTATATTTAAAATAAAACCATCATCCTTTTCTTGGATTCCTAAAATGCTACAATATTAGAAAACATCTTTATCTGACAAGTCTGCTCAAAAGGCAAGCAGTTCACTGAGCCAAAATGCTTTTCTCTGTGGCTTTGTCATGAACCCTTGTTTCAATACGATGTCCATCTTTATTACCATCCTGTAACAGATAGAAGAACATCAGAGTTCCTAAAGCTGTTTACTTTGCCTTCAGGAAGGTACCAAGATCTGTCAATAACAGCCTGATCAAAATCTTTCTGTGTCCATGCTAGTCTATTTTTGAAGCTGAGCATTGAAAGCTTAGTGATTCAGTTACAGCTTGTCAGCTTCCAAGTTTTCCCTTAAGATTTTCTTTTACAACAATTTTACTCAGATCCTCTATTTCATGCTTACTAATACAATTTCATAATCTAACAGTAAGGTTCAGTTTTTATGAAGACTCAATTTTCTGCATTGCTGTTTTTCCCAGGGAACCACCATTAGTTTTATTATATTTTATTAACACTAGCTTTTCTATTATTCCAACTCTAGCCTTTGGAGAAAGGCCTTTTTTTTTTTTAAACTAAATTTTTATTTTTTTTATATTAATCACAGTTTATTCACTTTGCATCCCAGCTATAGCCCTCTCCCTCATTCCCTTCCAATCCCATACTCCATCTTCTCCTCCCATGCCCCTCTCCAAGTCCCCTGATAGAGGAGGTCCTTCTCCCCTTCTGTCTGACCCTAGCTTATCAGATCTCATCAGGACTGGCTATGTTTTCCTCCTGTGTGACTTGGCAAGGCTGCTCCCCCGACAGGGGGACCTCAGCTACTGAGTTCATGTCAGAGACAGTTCCTGTTCCCCTTACTAGGGTACCCACTTGGAGACTGAGCTGCCATGGGCTACATCTGAGAAGGGGTTCTACATTATATCCATGAATGGTCCTTGGTTGGAGTATCAGTCTCAGAAAAGACCCATGGGCCCAGATATTTTGGTTCTGTTTCTCTCCTTGTGGAGCTCCTGTCCTTTCCATGTGTTACTATCTCCCCTTTCTTTCCTAAGATTTCCTGCACTCTGCTCAAAGTTTGGTTATGAGTCTCAGCATCTGCTTTGATACACTGATAGGTAGAGTCTTTCAGAGGCCCTCTGGTAGGCTCCTGTCCTGTTTCCTGTTTTCTCCTTCTTTTAATGTCCATCCCATTTGTCTTTCTGAGTGAGGATTGATCATCTTACCCATAGTCGTCCTCCTTGATTAGCTTCTTTAGGTGTCCAGATTTTAGTATGTTTATCCTATATTATATGACTAATAATCCACTTATAAGTGAGTATAGACCGTGTGTCTTTCTGTTTCTGGAATACCTCACTTAGGATGATCCTTTTCTAGATCCCACCATTTGCCTGCAAATTTCATGATTTCCTTGTTTTTAATTTCTGAGTAGTAGTCTATTGTGTAAATGTACCACAATTTCTGTATCCATACCTCTAATGAGGAACATCTGGGTTGTTTCCAGCTTCTGGCTATTACAAATGAAGCTGCTACGAACATGACTGAGCATATGTCCTTGTTGTGTACTTGAGCATCTTTTGGATATATGCCTAAGAGTGGTATAGCTGCATCTTGAGGAAGTGTTATTCCTAATTGAGAAAGTGCCAGATTGATTTCCAAAGTGGTTGTACAAGTTGACATTCCCACCAGCAATGGAGGAGGGTTCCCTTTCTACACATCCGGAGAGAGGCCTTTAATAGTAAGAAATATCCACCAAAGGCAATAAAGGATCAATCCAAGGCATCCAGGCACTGGAACTTTGTCAAGCAGCACCCCCAGGATGCTTGGCCTTGCCATTTGCTTGTACATGTATATGGTATGTGTAACAGTAATAAAAAAAAAAAAAAAAAAAGAGGTTCTCAACTTGATAGTGGGAATTTGGGAGGGGCTAGAGAGGGAAAGTGATGCAATTTCTATTTAAAAACTTAAAAGCCTATCAAATACATATAGAATTGCTCGTTCTAACATTTATGTGTGTGCACATATCTACAACCCACATGCAGCAGACAGAGGACAACTTGCCAGAGTTGGTTCTCTCTACCATGTGGCTTCTGGGGATCAAATGAAGTTATTTCGTATTTTCAGTTACTAATGTTTTTATGAAAAGACATTTAACTTCTCACATATACTTCTTTATAACTGAAGGGCTTCATTCCAGTATAGTTTCCTAGTCAATATGAATCTGGCCAATTACTAGTCCAATTTTGAAATACATCAAGTATAAGAATAACATTTTGACTGTAAATCTTAATGAACTCAACCCATTTATTTCAGTCATTTACAGGTGGAGGATACCGATTGGGCAACTCCTTCTGTAAGCGATCAGAGTATGTCTATGAAGAAAATCAGCTGCAAGATGTAGGTACAGTCATCAAAATGGTTAAGCATTTGTTTGTACTTGCTACTATGGTTTTTCCCCTTTCTGAATTAACAGTTGACAGTACAAGTACAGTCGCTCAGGAGTTTTTGAAGCATGGGTTAGTATTGCTTCCAGCTACAATATTTCTAACTGCCGTGCCTTATATTTAGAGATGGCTAATTATTTGTGGAAGAAATATATAATTCTTGCATTTTTTTTCTTAAAAATTATATACTTTCCTAATACAAAATGAATTAAATTTAAAAAAACATATGAAATAGTTATTTCTGTTGACTTTGGAATATTAAAATTATAAACTTTTTAGAGCTTTTTTTGAACATCTGCCTTGCCCCTTGGCCTGAATGTTTAAGCTGTGGACTAAAGAGAGTTTGGATATGAGTGAAGGGTGTGAGTCACAGGTACCAAGCAGTGTTTGTTACTTTTCTCTGGTTGTTTCCTCAGTTAACAGGCTAGACTTCACCCTCGGGACTTTGATATTTGCAGTATTAATCAGTGTTTTAAGCTAAAAATAAAGCTATGTAAACACGTGAACACAGATGCTTAGCTTTGAGCAAAACAAATATCTATATTTTAAGATAAATGAATCAGATAATTTGAAACTTTATTTTTTTTCTGTCCTCAAAGGTTCAGATTTTACTGAAGTTGTGGAGCAATGGTTTCAGTCTAGATGATGGGGAACTGCGACCTTACAGTGACCCAACAAATGCTCAGTTTTTGGAATCTGTTAAGCGAGGGTAAGATGAATTAGTTGTTCTGTTTGTTATGTCGGAGGGAACTATTGAGTATGTGCATCCGTGTTCCTATGACTGCAAATGTACAAGGGCATGTATAGATCATAGCTCAGCCTCAGGGATTTTCTCACTTGTGTAGAATTCGCCAAATAGGCTCGGCTGGTTGGTCACCGAGCCCCAGGGTCTGTGACCCTAATGCTGGGATATAAGCACATACCGCCTCCTCCAGCCTCTTAATAGGTTCTAAAGAGTGAGCTCAGGGTGTCCTGCTTGTGTGGCAACTACGTGACCAAGTAGCTTGTCTCCCTGGGCCCTATTTCTTTTTAAAACAGTTCAATAAACACAATTAGCTTTCAAGAATTAGTTACTGAAACATATTATATAATATAAAAGTGACTTGGGGGACATGAGATGGATCTTTTTGTGGAGTAAGGACACTGTATGAGTTACCTCTTTTTTTTTTTTCTTGAAATACAAAATTGTATTTAAAAACTGGTTAAAGTAAAAAAAAAAAAAAAAAAAAAAAAAAAAACTGTCAAAAACCAGGTGGAAAAATGGGTTTCAAATAAAATGGAATTTGGGGGCAACAGAAGTCTAAAAGGCCACGAAAGAGAAATATCACCACTGTCATTTGAACAATGGCTAGTTACTTTTTTTTTTTGGTATTGTTAGTCACTGGAATGACAAGAGAAGGAGCCACTGCAGTTTTTGACCTTGTCTGGCAGCTACAGGGTCATACTCTTTTCCATCCTAATTTGCATCAAAAAAACTTTCGATCCATTGAACAAATTCAATTGTCCTGAAATTTTCCTATTACTAATTCATCCATAGGGGTTATTTTGTCAACACCCATCCTCTTCAAACCTGCTTGTAGTATTTTGAAGTTCTGAATATATTCATGTTCTGCTTAGCTTGAAATTTTACTTTCTTCAAGGCAATGGAACCAAGGGAAAAGCATGTCCATAAACTGACAGTATGCAGTCTCTGAACACAACTGTTCTGTCAGAGGCAGCTGCAGAGATCCATTGATCCAAGCCAGCATGTCATGTCGACTCAGGTTGTCACTGGTGACCGAGGTCTAGTACACATTGACTGCCATTTTCGGCTCCCAAGGGACCCACATCCACTGTCCGCGCCCAGCTCTGGTTCCATCTTAGTCTAGTTCAAAGAGTCTGACCCCGCCCACACACAGTCAATGATTTACCTCTTTTAAGTATGATGACAGTATGGGTTTTGCTCCAAGAAATATATTAATGTAATAAGTCAGTCGTTGAATAGCTAGCTACTTATCCATAAGCCTCTGTCCTTACTGTTGACAAAACACCATAACCAAGGCAATTTATAAAAGAAAGCATTTAATGGGGGCATATAGTTTGAGAGGTTGAGCCAGTGATTATGACTGAGAGCATGTCTGTGGGCGGGCAGGCATAGCACTCAAGCAGTAGCTGAGAGCCTACCTGTGAGCCACAGGCATAAGGCAGAGGGGGAGAGTCACCAGGAGTAGTCTGGGCTTTAAAACCTCAAAGCCAACCTCCTCCAAAGCAAGACATTCTAATTCTTCCCAAGCAGTTCCACCAACTGGGGACAGTGACCAAGTATTCAAATGAATCAGTGGATGCATTCTCACTCAAAAACACCACATACAGTACTACTCCCAGCTCCCATAGGCTTAGCCATATCGTAATGCAAAATACATTTGATCCACCTAAATGTCTTCACAGTCTTTTGTAATCTCAACACTGTTTTAGTCTACATCTCTTCTGAGACTCAAATCTTTTAATTGTAACTGTAAAATCAAAAACAAATCATATAATTCCAACGTACAGTGGCACAGGATATATACATGTTTATTTCAAAAGGGAGGAATCAGAACATAGTGAGGAAATACTGAACCAAAAAGACCAAACCCCAGCAGGGCTAACTCCAAACCCTGTACTTGTATGTGTGACATCAAATGGCTTAGATGGCTTTTTAGCGATCCAGCTCCTTCCAGCTTTGTTGACTCTTAACACTTCTATCTCTTCTACTAGTCCCTTTCTCTGTGTATATAATGCTCTTTGGCAGATCCCCCATGCTTCTGGCATCTTCAACATCTTGGGGTCTCCAAAATAATCCAAGGTTCATTTTTATAGCCTTACACAGTGACCTCTGGGTTTCTGTACAGGGAATCTCCTGCCACATACCTGTCCTCAGCAGTTTTCCTTAACCCTTTCTTTACTCCTGTTTCCTTAACTGTAAAGCCAGAGCAATATGGCCAAAGCTTTCAAGTTCTGCCTGCTTGGGATGGAACTTGGGTCCCTTCTTTTCTTTTTAATTTATTTTTTATTTATTACAATTCATTCACTTTTTATCCTGGCTGTACCCACCCCCCCTTCTTCTCTCCACCCAATCCCACCTTCCCTCCCTCTTCTCTCATGCCCCTCCCCAAGTCCACTGATAGGGAAGGTTGTCCTCCCCTTCTTTCTGACGCTTAGCCTATCAGGTCTCATCAGGACTGGCTGCATTGTCTTCCTCTGTAGCCTGGCAAGGCTGCACACCCCCACCAGGGGGAGGTGATCAGAGAGGCTGACACTGAGTTCATGCCAGAGACAGCCCCTGCTCCCCTTACTACGGAACTCACTTGGAGACTGAGTCTGTGGCCTGAATCCTCTGAGCCAGGGTTTTAGGTCCTTTCCATGCTCATTCCTTGGTTGAGGTATCAGTCTCTGCAGAGCCCCTGGAACCCAGTTTTTGTCTTGTTTGTTACTGGCTCTGTTGGTCTCCTTTTGGGATTCCTGTCCCCTCCAGGTCTTTCTGTCTCCTCCTTTCATAAGATTCCCTGCACTTGCCCAAAGTTTGGCTATGAGTCTCAGCCTCTGCTTTGATATCTTGATCAGTAGAGTCTTTCAGAGGCCCTCTGTTGGTAGGCTCCTGTCCTGTTCCCAGGGTCCCTTCCTTGAATTACATTTACATAAGCTTTGATTGGCTACTGTTCCTTAGGCCTTTTTTCTTTTCTCTTTTTGGATTCTTCCCTTCCTGCCTTTTTTCTTTTCCTTCCTTCCAAAAACTTGCTGGATTAGCTGGGTGGGACCTTCCTAAGGGCTCTATTCCCCCTATTTTATTTTTTTCTCCTTATCCCTTTCAGCACAAACCGACTCCAACATTAAACATCCTTTGCCAAAATATCACAAGGTTCTAGCCCAGTTAGCAATATTGTTCCCCTTAGATCTCTTGAGCTGGGAGTAGATAGTCCCCGTTCCTCTCAGCATTATTGTCAACTAAGCTCCTATAGCATGACCCACTGTGTTCTACTTAACAGCGATCAACCACTTTCCTAGTCCAAGTCCCACAGTCTTCATGTTCCTCCAAAAAACAAAAAGCTCTGGATGTCCAGGCCTGTCACAGCAGTACCCCACTCGACTGTGGAATAAAGGCATAAGGGTGTGATGATTGGGAGATTGAATAGCAGGAGGAGTTCATAAAGAAATTGAAAGTGGAGCCTTTTTAATGCATCATGCCCAAGGAGAGTGGCTAAAGTGAGCTGGGGATAAAACTGCAACAACAAAGGCACTCTGAAGGAAAAATACTGTAGAAATTGAGTTACTTGGTGTGTATTTTTAATTTAAATTTTGCATAGATATTAAAAGATTACCAAACAAAGGCAAGAAATGCTTATCGGAGAGCTGAGATCATTAGTGGCAAGTACTTGTATATAACAGCTAGTACAGTGTTATGCAGTTGAAAACTAAGCAGCTAGGTGGAACTATAAAAGTAATATATGAAAACCAACATTGCTGTTCAACTTTATACTCTTACTTCAAGGTGATTGAAGAAAATGTTAATTATTTGCTAATTAAGTATTTGCTAAATCTTCAGACATGTAAGGACATTCAATGGGCTTATATAATATCAAGTACAAATAGTGAGCAAAGTCTCCTTTTCTAGAAGAATATTAGTTTGAGGTTCTCAACTAGCTTCGATCTGGTCACTGTCTTAAAATATTTGGTATTACCATCTTTACTGTCCTATAAGAGCAATTGTTAGGTAGTATATAATTCGCTTATACACATTACTTCCCGCCAAAATGATACAGTGTACCATATATATTAAATGTAGAAAAGTAATTTTTTATAAATCAAAAATGCCTATCAATTATATTTATATAACTACTTTAATATAAATTTATATTTCAATTTATACATGCCTACTTTATCAGTCTAGAATCTCTTTGTAAATGTAACAAGCAAGAAATTACTATAATGAAGTGTGAGGAGTTGTAAGCTTAATTATAGTAAGTGCCATTCATTCAAGGACTTGGTAGAGTTCCAAACAGAGTATTTTAAATGTAAGTATATCCCCGGAAATTGCCAAGTATGTTAAATATAAAATAAAAACCTGCGAAAGTGCTTTATGCTTTTTTTTTTTTTTTTTTTTTTTTTTTTATAGAACATAAGTAGACTTAGGTTCAGACATTATAAAGAGGCAAGTTGTTACCCATGTGAGTCTCTGGTGTGTACTGATTCAGTGTAACTGATACTATCCTCAGTATATAAGACCAGTCTTCTATAGCTGTGCGTTCCTGAGCCTCTGCCCTTGGCACTGAAGTGTGGTGTTCACCAGTGACCTGAGAATCCAAAACACCTTTATCAGTTTCTATCTTCTTCCAGGATGGAGTTAAAAATAAATATTTGCAGTCAGGTATGATGATTCTGTGTCCTCACAAGTCTTTGTAGAAGACGGGATCTCTTTGTAGTGCAGAACCTTTTCTTAATTTTGTGCAGTGAAAAGCTGTGAAGAATGAAGGACCCTTACTGTTGGTGGGAGTATAAACCTATGCAGTCACCAAGGAAATCTATATAGAGATTTCTCCACAGACTGAAAATAGAACTGCCTACCATGTGACACATACGATCCATGAATATTTACCTAAAGAACTCTTAAGGCAGTATATCTTGGAAATACTTGTAAATCTGTGTACACTGTTCACAATAGTCCAGAGATGGGACCAGCCTAGATGTTCATCAACGGATGAATTAAGAAAATGTGGTAAACAAATAATATATAAAATGTAATTCTATGAACTGTTAGTATCATCCAGACCCAAATACCATGTGTTTTCTCTTACATGCATCATCTATGAGTGGATTATAAATGTTTGTGTTTATATAGGAGTACACAGATTATGAAACTAGAAAGTAGATCATGAGAAGGGAAGAAGAGATTAATCATTACACATGAAATGAAAGTAGAAGAGAGATTGTAGTAAAGAAGGGCATAGAGGAGCATAGTGGGTGAGAGAACCCACTAAGAAAAAAAAAATACAGTGACCTGTATGTGTGCAGATACCAAAGTAAAATCTATTACGTTATATACTAACCTGAAACAAATCTTAAATTTAAAACAGGAAAAAAAAAAAGGCATCTATTATGGCCATCTCTCACAGCCCCTGTCCCTCATGCTAAAACATGGCCGTGCTCACTAGTCACCTGACACCCAGAAAACCCACACATCAGTGTACATAGCTTCCCCCAGGAACGTTAGAAATGAATATTGGCAGACCCCAACTCCTCAGAGTCTACGACGGGATTGCTGTGAGTTTACAGCTAGCCTTATCTAGATAGTGAATTCGAGCCTAGCCTAAGCCACAGTATAAGAGCCGGTTGTTGTGTTTTTCAAGACGGTTTCTCTGTGTAGTCTAGGCTGTCCTGGCTTCACTTTGTAGACCAGGCTAGCCTCAAACTCATAGTGGTCTGCCTGCCTCTGCCTTCCAGAGTGCTGGGATTAAACACGTGCATCACCGTGCCAGGAATAAGACCCTGTTTCAAAGGGAAAAAAACGTGAACTAACTCCTAAACTTAGGAATTTTTGTGCTAATTTAAAGATCAATTGTCTCATAATTTGACTTTCTAAAATGTACCGTCAGGTCCTTGTGACAACCAAAACATTTTTTGTGTTAAGAGTCACTAAGGAACAGTGATGAGGTAGAAGAGATGGCTCAATACTGGCTGCTTTTCCAGGAGACCAGAGTTTCCTTCCCAGCATTTTAATGGCATTTTACAACCATCCATAACTCCAGTCCCAGGAACTTTATCCTCCAGTAGCACTGTGTATGTACGTGCTACATAGGCATACATAGAAAACACTTCTCCAAATAAATTTGAAAAGTAAAAGTGTGAGGTAATCTCATGAGACCTATAATTACTCTAGAAATTTTTTTATGTTGGCATATAGATCACGATTTAATTATTGTCATCTCGGTGGAGTGGTGTGATTCTTAACAACCTTCACTAAAACCCTCCCTCTCCTTTTAAGAGAGATACCCCTGGAGCTTCAGCGACTGGTCCATGGCAGCCAAGTGAACCTGGATATGGAGGATCATCAAGATCAAGAGTACATAAAACCCAGATTGCGGTTCAAGGCTTTTAGTGGAGAAGGGCAAAAGCTTGGAAGGTAAAATTCCTCTAGTGATGTTCTTTCTCAAATATATCTAGTTATGATTGGGATTTGAAATGTTTTCTTGATATTCTTGGGCATTCTGACTTTAACTCTGGTTTCTGATTTCTCTCTGAACTGTATGGCAAGTAGTGTGAGGAAGACTCAGGTATGAAGTTGGAAGAAATGCAGCTAGGTTTCTGAGAGATCTGGGATTAATAAGTAGGAAGCATAGACTCTATACTAATTTTAATATCCTTAAAGAGGCCAGATAAAGTAGAGAAAGCTGGAAGGAACTGTGTTTGGAAATCCTCTGAGGGATGGCACATTTGACTAGAGAACTTGGCTACCTTCACTGTGTCCTCTGTTCTACGTATTCAGTTTGTGTTCTAATTCTTAAATTCATCTTTCTTAGCCTTACACCTGAAATAGTCAGTACTCCTTCCTCTCCAGAAGAAGAGGATAAATCAATACTTAATGCAGCTGTTCTTATTGATGATTCAGTGCCCACCACAAAAATCCAGATCCGTTTAGCAGACGGAAGTCGCCTGATACAGAGGTTCAACAGCACACACCGGTAAGCTGCCCGCCAGTAGGGGTCTCGGTGTTCCTATACTCTTCCTTCACAGAAATCTGTACAAAGCATATGAATAGATGAAGTTGTTTACGTTTTTAAAGGAAGCTTTTGACAGAAGAATATCTAAAAGGATAGTAACTACCTACAATAAATAGGCGTTAATAATTTTTGTGAAGTATCCAGTTAGTTCAAGTTCAGACAACTCAAAGATAAGAGTTGTAGTTTTATGACCAAAACTATATCTAGTGGACTGAGCTTTAAGATGGTAAAATCCCACTGGGATTTTAAAATATTGATAATTCTAAGCTAGGCATGATTGTACTCACCTGCCATCCTATCATTTGGAAGCTCAAAGCAAGAGGATTACAAGTTTGAACTAAGTCTAATCTACATGACAAGACATTGTCTCAAACAAAAAGTTTATGAAATTTTAATCAGAACTTTCTATATAGCACTTCATAATGTAAATGCATGGCATAAGTAGTTTGTGTTCTAGTACACTATCTCTAATAGACTGTTTCATTGTCTCTTTACTAATTCAATATATTTCCCTGCACATAAGAGTGCTTTTATTTTTCACTGATTATAAGATTATAATGTGCATTTATAGTCTTAGTTATGTTACTAGGTATATGTGAGAATAATTTTTAAATTTTTTTGTTACTGTTTTTAATGATAGGATCTCACCATGTGACTGTCTAGCCTAGGCTAGCCTCAAACTCAGTGATCTGGACTTAGCCTTCCAAGAGGTGAAATTACAAATGTGTAACACCATACTTGGCTCTTAATATGTATGGATTCACGTGCGTGTGTGCGTAAATTCCTTTTCATAGTGTTAGAGACACTTAGGCCTTTAAAACTTTTTTCTCTGAAAACAGTAAGACTTGTACTTTTAACAATATTGTTAATAATTTATACATATTTTGCTTTAAGATTGTTTTTGTTATTACAGATGTATATACCAAAGTTATTTCTCTATCAAAATCTGATGAACTTTCCCATCAAAATAATGTATACTAAAGAAAGTTATAGCACCTTTAAACAAAAGTTGGGATTATATAATGTCTGTTGTAAAGATGATTGCCATTAAAAGCTTGCATGGAATTATGCCTTTTCTACAATAAACCATTTCTACTTATTCCTTTAGGGTTCTGGATGTACGAGACTTTATAGTACAGTCACGTCCTGAGTTTGCAACTACTGACTTTATTCTTGTGACTTCGTTTCCAAGTAAGGAGCTAACGGATGAAAGCCTGACACTACAAGAAGCGGATATTCTTAACACTGTGATACTCCAGCAGATAAAATAGTATTGCTCTAATCTGTGTAGGAGCATATAGGAACAGGTAGTGTCATGCATATTATACTTCCAGCATAAAACAGCCAAATTATTTTTATTATTCATATAAATTCTGGTTTTGCTGCTGTTCTATCTTCCAGTCTTTGTCAAGATAAATTTAGACTAAAGATAGAGCTTAATATTTGAATTTTTAATTGTAGGGCTGGCTTATATTGATAGCTTGTAAACGTCTAGGTCAACCAACTTACTACTAGCTCAGTGTTAATTTAATGACATTTTTAGATGAAATGAACAGAAACCCTTTTTGGCAAATATATTTGGTGAAATTTGCACTCAAGTTTCTTAATTCAGCAATGACCAGTAGCCAGTAAGGATCCTTTTTCTGTAATATTTGCCAGAGTATCTGCTGTGAGTTTGAAATTGTGTGATCATACAATAATGAAGGTTTTGCATATTCTTTTTACATATTGTTTGAACTATGTTTTAGTAACACAGAATGTATTTTGGCCTTGTATTTTATAAAATTACAGCTGCCATAAACTAAATTTTAATACATGTGAGAGTCATCAGCTCTTGAGAAGACATGATAAACAGCACTTTAAAATCAAGAAATTATAGTCCCTTCCAGAGCCTGCCTTGATCACTTTCATTCACTCAGTCAACATTTTTATAGGGAATATATTACACAAGCGTGTAATATGCAATACAGAATATATTCTTCAGTGTATGAAGTGTATGAACTCAGTCTGAGAGACTGGAGTAAAAATTACCAGCAAGACTTGTGTTTTTCCTGAGTTAGGCATTTCTTGAACGGCCTGCTCAGTGTGAGGAGTAACAGAAAGCTTTTGTTCCTCCAGGCACCATTCTGTCCTTAGTCGCCATTTCTGTGTAGTTTTCTGTTGTTGACATAAGAAAATGCGGAATTTGTGACTGAAATTGCACAGATTTATTCTCTTAAAGGTGTATGTAGGTTGAATGTTGAACACGAGCTTCTCTGAGCTGGCCTCAGGGTCTTGGCAGGACTGCCTGAGACTCATTCCCTGGCTGCTGAGCTCCAGAGGCCCCTGTGTTCTTGCCCATCTGACATGGTGCTCTCCTTCATCTACAGCCAGTGCTTGGATCTTTCTCTGTAATTCATATTCTTGACAATGTTCTCTGCTTTTGAGGACATATAAGAGGAGATGTGATGCTCAGGGGAATCCATGATCATTGTCAAAGTTAACTTTTATAGTAACTAAAAATTATTCAGACTTGCTCTTTTCTATTTCAGTTACATCTTCATGGAGTTGGGGAAATTGATAAGCTTTTCTTTCTCTCTTTTTTTTTTTTTTTTTTTTTTTTTTTGGCCACCTACCAAACAAACTTACCCCTTCCAGAGGTGCTCAGATCTTCCAACCTAACACATTGTCTCTGAGTCCAAAACCTTAGCTGGATTTCATTGATTGAAGAGTCCCAAATCTCATTAAGATTATCTAAATTAAGTAGAGATTTCCTCTCTACCTATGACACTAAAAGTGAGTTATGTTCTTGTAGGTAAATGTCAGGACAACTATAGAATAAACATTGGTGTGTAAAAAGTCAGGAAACAGTGAAAAGTGGAGCCTCCAGTACCAAGGAGCATACAAATTCAGCCAGACATTCCATTCACCTTCTAAGGCCAAAGGTTAATGTATGACTTTGAGAACTTAAAATTTTAACTTTTGACTGTATTGGTCATCCTCCTTTCACAGAAGCCACACAGCTTCTTTCTTCTTTTCCATATTGTGTTACTGTGTACCTTTCATTTTAAAATAGCAAAGGTCTGTTAAGAAACTTAAGGGTCTCTTGTCTGTCATGAAGATCAGCTCTATTAAACAGAAAGCTCTTCCAAGCATCTTTATACATAACAGAAATAATCCCATCTCTAATTCTTACTTTTTCAGAGAAAACAGAATTGTGTCATATATCCATAATCTCCTCAGAGAGCCTTTTGTATGAGCATGCAAACTTTTATGTTAGATATGCATGTGCCTGTGTGTGTTTGGGAGATGCCTGAAGTTGAATGTGGAAATCCTCCTAAGTCTCTCTCCACCTTATTCAGACAGGCTATCCCAGTTAAACCCAGAGCTCACTACTGCAGCTAGTCTGGGTAGCCTGCCCTGTGGGAATTTATTATCTCCATCTTTTGAATGCTGGAATTTCAGTCAACCATCCTACTCAACCATCTTGGTGAACTCTTTGGCTACTGAGCCATTTTCCCAGTTCTTCAGACCTTTATTCTTTCTCTCTCATGTTCTCTAAAAGTTATACAGCCACACCTTCTGTTTCTTTCTATAACTCAGGCTTTCCTGACAAGCATTAACATTTTTTAAAATAGCTGTTTTAAGTGTTAGTTGTCGTTTAGGTAGAGTAAGTATTTCACTAAGCCCTGGTTTCTTTTTATATTCTTTTTATGTATCACTTCTTCACAGTGTTTCTATCTTACTATCAAACTATTATAACCAGCAAGAAAAAAAATAAAACAGGTTAAAGTTTACTTGAAAATTTCAGTGTAGTATTAAGCTCATCATATACAAATTCTGCTTTGCATATTACATACCTTCAATTTTCCAATAATGGATTCCTCATTTCTGAGGCCTCAGCAGCAGTATCTTTAATGTCATCACTTTTTTTTTCTAGTGGCGAAAACTTTTCCTTATGTAAGTAGCATTAAAATTGAAAAACAAAATATAAATTTGAACTAAATATTATGTTTAATATTCAAGCAGAAATACATAATACCAAATAATTCTACATTGAAAGCAGATCATAAGAAATTTTAATATTATTTTAAAATACCTTTTTCTATTACCATTATATAATTGTAGAAGTTGAACATTTCTTACTTGAAATCAACAATCTAAAATGTTCCAGTATCCAAAACCAGTGTACGCATGTTGCTTCAACAAAAAATGCATACCGTGACAGTCGTTTTCCCAGGGGGTTTCATCACCGCAGCAGAACAAAACTAAGGACATAGGTCGTAGAAGTGTTTTATTGTTTCAATTTCTTGGAATTTTCTACGCAAATAATCATGTCTTTCCTTCAAAACTAATGAAGAAGATTGCTCCATATTGAAGTGGTGAATTATTTGCCTAATCCCCTGAGGCCCCTTTCCCCTGTACTCAGGGGTCCCTGTTCAGTAACAGTTTTCCTAGACAGCTGTCTTTGTTTATTGGGGGAAAAGCTACTAAGCTAGAGTTATATCTTTTTAAGTTCACTGGAGGAAGATTTTCTTCACCATCTTCATTGTCATCCTCATATTTTTTCTCATCATCTTGTTGGGGTTCATGAACAGCCACACAAACTACTCAGACACTGGTCTCAGTCACATATGTATGTTTTGTTGAATGCACACTGATTAATCAAGGACGCAGCTGGACTCAAGAGTCAAGACTGCCACCCTGGGCAGTTTTGTGGAACCAACCACAAACAGGTGCATTTACAGTATTTGGCTAGCTACACAAAGCAGTGCTCTCTAACCTTTAATTGGCTAGGTCTAACATCATAGTTGTCTAGGGAGTTTCCAAGACCTGAGGGCCTTATGATGGGGAGCTTCCAAACTAAAACAAGAAATTGTTTTGATTACGGCAAGGAACATTAGGTCAAATTAAGGTTATGACCTAACATGACCTCCTGTCATGCTTAAGCCTAACATTTCCCCTTGAATTGTGTAGGGAGACAAATCATTGACTCTAGGGTGTCCTGTGCAAGCAAGGGCTCATACTGGTCTTAAAGACTATATGTTAAACAGCAGATACACCTTTCTTTATAAAGGAGACCAAGGCATTAATAACACAAGACCCAAGGGTCAACAATAGGAGTGAGCATGGGGGACCTACCAGAGCTCTGATAAGTGAAGGTTAACCAGGAGATGTATTGAAAAACGGTTTCATACCACCTTGTTGATTGCTTTCTCTGCTGTTTCCTATCAAGGAGGAAGGTTTTGTTGTTGTTGTTGCTCTTGTTGTTGTTTTTTTTTATTTCAGCGATGGGGTTTCTGATCACTCCAGAGTAATTAGCATAGAGCATTGTTCTCAAAGGGCCGTATACTCTTCCTTCAAGAACAGATCTAGGGCCCTTCCATTCTGTAGACCTACTAAGGAATCTACTTGATTTTCTAGGAAGGAAGTGGTTGAGTGAAGCTGGCTAAATCTTTTTTTTTAATTTATTATTATTACTATTATTTTTATTCACTTTACATCCAGATTGTAGCCCCCTCCCTCTCCTCCTAGACCTATCTTCCCTTCCTATTCCCCCTATCCTCTCCTACTCTGAGAAAAGGGAATTCCCCCCCCCCAACAACCCACACCCAGCATATCAAGTTGCATCAGGACTGAGCACAGCCTCTTCCTCTGTGTCCTAGCAAGGCAGCCCTGCCAGGGGAAAGTGATTGAAAAGCAGGCCATAGAATCCATGTCAGAGACAGCCCTCACTCCCCTTATTAGGGGACCCACATGAAGACCAAGCTGCCTTTGGCTTTATCTGTATAGGGGGTCTAGGTCCAGTCCATACATGGTCCTTGGTTGGTGGTTTCTGTTTCCACAAGCCTCTCTGGGCCCGAGGTAGTTGGTTCTGTTGGTCTTTTTGTGACGTTCCTATCCCCTCTGGGTCCTCATATCCTTCCCCTCACTCTTCAAGATGCCTACACACTGCCCAATGTTTAGCTGCGAGCCTTAACTGTTTTCCTCTGCTGCCGAGAAGAGCCTCTCAGAGAACATCTGCAAGCATAGTAGAGTATCATTAATAGTGTCAGAGCTTAGCTGTGTACCATGGGTGGGTCTCAGATTGGGCTAGGCATTAGTTGGATATTCCCTCAATTTCTGCTTTATTTTTATCTCTGCACATCTTGTAGGCAGGGAAATTTTGGTTCGAAAGATGTTGTTCCCCTCCCTCCACTAGGAGTCACTGTATTTAGAGGGTGTGCCCTCTTAAGTCTCCATGACCCCTGCTACTGGTAGTCTCAGCTAGAGTCACCCCCGTATCCTCCTAGGAGCCTACCCTGTCGTAGGTCTCCAGCTTCTTAGG